GCACTATGAAGCGGCGCTTCATAGAGCACAGAGAGGGAGAGAGAGGACGGAAAAAAACAAGCAGGAAAATGAAACTTATCGCCGTCTTTTTTTTAACCGACCTAAAAAAAAGTTATCGTGCGATTAATTGATTTATTGACTATCGCGACAGGCCTAATCGTGACCCCTCTGTCATGATATGTATCGTATCGCCAAATTCTTGCCAATACACAACCTTAGTGTGTGTGTGTGTGTGTGTGTGTGTTGGAGCTCCTTTCATTTGTGTAAATAGGTGTATCACATCTCTGAAATAAACTGTATAAAATATGATTGCATCTAGACTTCACAAGTTGTAATATTAAACAACGTTGCCACAGAACTGTAAAAATGTATAACTTATTTAATTTGAGTTTTTTTGTTCTCCTCTGTGTTTCTGCTAAGTTTTCTTTCTTTTTTTGTCTTTTATTTTTCCAGGAGCGTCATTGTCAAAATCGAAGAATGCAGCCATCCCATTGTCATGAAGGGTTTGTGCGCAGAGTGTGGTCAGGACCTGACTCAGTAAGAACATTTCTTTGTTTTCAATAATGAACGCCTCGGTTTAGTTATTGTGGGATGCAACAGGCTGATCTCTCACCCTAAGCTCAGCATATCTTTATTAAAAGATGGTTTAAAGTTTTTACATGTTATTCAGTCACCTGTTGGAATTTATAAACTCAGAAGAAAAATCACCTTTACAATGATGCAGTCCTGATATTGAACACTGACACTGTTAAACACAGTGTTGTATAAAGTCCCTGAAAGTGATACTTGAGTAAAAGTACAAGTATCTTATAAGTATCAAAAGTAAATAAGTATCAAAAGTAAATTTCTGACATAAAGTGTAATAAATAAATAAAAGGAAAAGTATTGAGTAAAAATGAGTGGTTAGATTTTCCAAAATTAATTTTATTGGGAGTTGACCTCTTCCAATTTATTTTTCTAAATGCATCCAGCTTTGATGGATTGTGTACAAACTAAGTTCAAAATCAGAATGGTATATATTTATACTTCTCATTCAACCACAATTAAATTCACTGTATCCAGGAGACATAGATAGATACATACATAGAGAGATAACAATAATGAGCCAAAATGAAACAGGAGAAATGACTTTCTACTTATTGCCTTTTTTTTAATGTAAGGAGTAAAAAGTAGGCTGAAAAATAATTACTCAAGTAAAGTACAGATAACCAAAATTTCTACTTAAGTACAGTAACAAAGTATTTGTACTTAGTTACTTTATTACTCTGGTTAGACCAGTAGTATTTTTCAAGGAATTGTGTTTAAAGTGATGCCATCAGGTGGCACCAGAGATCAAACATAAGAGCACTGAGCCCTCTACAGAAAGAACTGTAGTTAATAAGACCTAACTTTGAGATTAGAAAGAAGCTAACATATAT